GGGAAAGATTACCTTCAACTGAAACATTTTAAGAACTGTTCATAAACCTTCAAAAGGAAGATGCTTTGACAAGGCAAACCTTAGCAATAAAGGGGTCCAGGCAGCCCTATGTGCCTGGCTGAGCTGTGATGCTCCTGGCCAGGGTGGGACTCACCTCTGCTGGCTTCAAATTCTCTGCAGATTGCAGGGAAGCACGTCAGCTGTGGTGCCTGTGGGGGTTTGGCAGGCAACAGGCAGGAGAGCAGATGCTGTGTTTTCTGGTCTGGAAAGCTATGTCCTGAGCATTTGGTAAGAGGTTGGTTTTTGTGGGGTGGTGGGAGGATTTTGCCTGTCTTCTGTTTTGGGGGAGATTCGAATGTTGGGTGAGACATGGGAAATCAGGTTTCTTGGTCTCCCACAGTGTATCTCAAAGAATGAAACAGGCTTTTGTCAAGTTAAAACTCCTCTTCTCTCTGCAGGCATTAATGAAGAACCTCAGCCCCCAAATGTTAACTTTTTGACAGTGGGGTTTATGTACAAACTGGGAAACTGTTTTGATATCTTACCTGACAGCTGCTAAATAAAAACCACGTATGCTTGTGCTTAGAAAACAATATGAAGTATGTGCAGGAGGGAAGAAAAAATAATCCTGGCATTAGTGTTAAAAGCATGTTGGTGAATTGATATTTAGGTTTTCATCAAGTCCTGAAAATGGCTGTAGTTTTCGTATGAATTCCATGGTTCCATCTTCAGTGAAGAAGTAGTTTGAGCAATAAACAGAAGATAATGTTCATAGATGCTGAAATTGTGTGTTACCATCTTATCTATCTAAAGCTCCTTGAATTGGTAATTTGAAAAGCAGTAGCACCTGGTTGCGTGTGAATCTTGCCATGCAAATAGTTGGAGTTTTTTTTGTCAGACAGCTTAAAAATAGAAAACATCCTATGTTTAATTTCAACACATCTGATTCTTTTTTACTACTACTATGCAATATATGTGCTTGGTGCATTTTAAAGTGTACACAGAAAATACTTTGGAGAGAAGCAAAGGTGACTAATGGGAAATAATTTGTCAGTCTTAGCCCCTAACTTTCTGCTGTAACTACTATTATTCTGGCTAGGTGAGTGGCTTAAATGGTCCCGTGAAGCCTGTCGTGCCTTTAAGTGCCTGCAAATGCTGCCAGTCAGTGACACAAAGCAGCCTATAAGGGAAGAAAATTGCCTTAGTGATACTTACAGGTGCTCTTGGAAAGTGGAATGAGATGGAAATTGAGCTTTGGCTGCCCATCAGCAGGCAAAGCAGGAGCGTGAGCATCTTATATCTTGTTGGTTTGAAAACCGGTCTTGAGGATAGTTACTGTCATGGACTTGCTTCTAGACAAAGCTGCTGCTAGGATGGTTGTTCCTTATGAGTGCTGTATATCATGACTATCATGGTAAATGGTTTTTTTTTTTTTAATACCTAATGAATAGTAGAAGAGTAAAACACTTAATCATAGAATCATAAAATAGTTTGGATTGGAAGGGACCGTTAAAGATCATCTAGTCCAACCCCCCTGCAATGAGCAGGGACATCTTCAACTAGATCAGGTTGCTCAGAGCCCTGTCCAGCCTGATCTTGAATGTTTCCAGGGATGGGCCATCTACCACCCCTCTGGGCAGCCTGTTCCAGTGTTTCACTACCCTCGTTGTAAAAATATCTTCCTTATATCTAGTCTAAATCTACCTCAACCCGTTCATCCCCCAGGACCCTGCACATGGCCTTGTTGAACCTCGTGAGGTTCACATGGGCCCACTTCTCGAGCTTGTCCTGGTCCCTCTGGATGGCATCCCGTCCCTCAGGCGTGTCAACAGCACCACTCAGCTTGGTGTCGTCTGCAAACTTGCTGAGGGTGCACTCGATCCTGCTATGTCATTGATGAAGATATTAAACAGTACTGGTCCCAGTGTGGACCCCTGGGGGACACCACTTGTCACTCATCTCCATGTGGACACTGAGCCGTTGACCACTACCCTCTGGATGCTTCCATCCAACCAATTCCTCATCCACCAAACAGTCTACCTATCAAATCTGTATCTCTCCAATTTAGACAGAAGGATGTTGGGGGGACCATGTCAAAGGCCTTGCAGAAGTTCAGGTAGATGACATCCATAGCTCTTCCCTCATCCACTGATGTAGTCACTCTATCATAGAAGGCTGTTAGGTTGGTCAAGCAGGACTTGCCCTTGGTGAGGCCGTGCTGGCTGTCCCCAGTCACCATCCTGTCCTCCATGTGCCTTCGCATAGCTTCTAGGAGGATCTGTTGCATGATCTTCCCAGGCACAGAGGTGAGGCTGACAGGTCGGTAGCTCCCAGGGTCCTCCTTTCGACCCCTTTTTAAAGATGGGTGCAATGTTTCCCTTTTTCCAGTCACCGGGGACTTCACCTGACTGTCATGACTTTTCAAATATCACGGAGAGTGGCTTGGCACCTACATCAGCCAGTTCCCTCAGGACTCTGGGATGCGTCTCGTCAGGTCCTATAGACTTAGGTATGTTCAGGTTCCTCAGGTGGTCACAAATCTGATCTTCTCTTACAGTGCAAGGGACTTTGCTCCCCCAGTCCCTGTCTTGTGGTCCATCCATTTCAGAGATGTGGGAAGAGAGGTTGCCAGTGAAGACTGAGGCAAAGAAGTTGTTGAGTACCTCAGCCTTCTCCTTTTCCCGTGTTACCAGTTTGCCAGTCTTGCTCATCGCAGGTGTGTGTGTGTGTGTATGTTTTCTTTGACCTTCCTTTTCTGGCTGACATAATCAAACCAGCCATAAAAAAAAAAAGACAATAGGTCTGATTTTAAAACCAGAAGTTAAAGACAAAGACTGCTACCTGCTGGCTGGTTGATTTGTGTACTTTACAGCTGTTCGGTACTTCTGACTCATAAAATAATCTAGATTAGTAGGGAAATGCCGGGGCTGCTTTCTCCCTTAGTCACGACTTGGGTGTGCCCTCCGCCAGGGGTGGAGCATCCTGCCTTCATCCCTCCCAGGGAACTTCTTCCTTTGGGTAGTGACGTAGCCCCAAGTGCTCCTTGGAAATCTCCTTCAGGTGGTGATGTAGCCTGCTGCAATGGTACTAGCTAGGTAGGTTAATGCTTGAACTGAATTATGGATTACTTTCTGCAGTCCCACTGACCCCAGAGTTTTCCATGAATGGTATTTTTTGATAGGTTTGTGGGGCGAAGCAATCGCCTTCTGGTCCTGTGAATTAATATGATTCTGCATAAGCAGTCCCAGACATGAGCAGGGCAGGAGATGCTCTGAATGCTCAAGATGCTGGTCGTAATTTCAGTGAGTAACTTCTTGTTAATGTGTCTGCTATTTTATGGAGAGAAAATACTGTGGAATGTAAGTGATACGGAGTAATGAGGTATCTAAATCCCTGTTGTATTTATTTTTAAACCGCTAATCTACTGCAAGGTATCGTGTGCCTGATTCATTTTTTATGGATGATATAGGGGAAAGTTTGATTTATTGTCAATAAAGCATCAACTGAATTCTAGACTACCTTCTGCTAGCTTGGGGAAAATGAATGCCAATTCATTAGCTCCTGTAGATTGCTTTTTCTTAATAGTTCAGTAAAACTTTCTGCTGTAGCTTTCCCAAGTAGGCAAGCTGTGCTTAAGGTGTGACACTCTCTTGCTGAGCTTGGAAGTTTCTGTCAGAATAAGCCAAAGAATGGCATTAAACTGGGAAGCTGCTTTCAAAAAAAAAAAAAAATTTCTTTATATGCTATCTGGAAAGTCCCAGTGCCAACAGAAGCGTGGGCGGCGATATCTGCTCCCTGCAGTCCTGTGTTGTTTCTTCCTCCCACCTCCTCTGGTACCCAAGAGGTAGCTCGTTACCAAGGCTGGATGAGCAGGGGATGGTTGCTTCGTACCTGGTGCTTGCTTGTTACCCCAGCCCAAAACCGGCTGAAAATAATACCTCTCTGTCTCCAGTGGGAAGGGTAAGGGTTTGCAAAAAAAACCATTTTAAATGTTGCAGCGCTTTGAAGACCGCATGGGCTTTTGCTGAAAAAGGTGTATGAAGCCATGACAATTCACAGGAGCCGTAACCGTGCCTGATACTTGCAGGTCACTGCTGCCATGTTCTCCGTAGGCCTACGTAGCTGTTGGCCTACATGAATGTTTCCAAGTGCTTGGACCTACTTGGTGGTGGCCTGCCAAGTCCTCCTCCCTTTCCTATCCTCTGAGTTCCCTCTAGTTACCCAAGTCTCTCTGTTTCCATTGTGCATGGATTGTTTGCCTGAAGGAAGCAAGTACTTTGGGGCATCTTGGACTAAAAAGGAGCTGTGGCATACTAAGCCAGTACCAGGGGTTTTGGGGGCCTTTGTAGTTAGGATTAAAAGAAG